GACACCTCATAAGTCGGGAAAGCTCATTTCCCGCTTCTAGGAATCAAAATTTTCCCGGGGGAGAACCCCCCGACCCCCTTTCTTTTGGGATTTTGTGAAAACATTACCTGACATTTTCAAGAGGGGAAAACCTTGAATTTTGAAGAACTTAAAAAGTCATTTAAAAGACATTTCAGAAGTCAGTGAAGGTCATTTCCCGAATTCTAGAAATCGAAATTTTCCCGGGGGAACTCGGACCCTTTTTTTCTTTGGGGTTCATTGGTTCTATTGAATCATTTTCAAGAGGGGGGAAACCTTGATTTTTGGAGAAATTAAAAGTAATTAAAAGACACCTCATAAGTCGGGAAAGCTCATTTCCCGCTTCTAGGAATAAATATTTTCCCGGGGGAGAACCCTTTCTTTTTGGGAGTGGGTAAAAAATTACCTGACCGTTTTGAAGAACTTAAATTAAAATCGCTATAAGATACGGTACTTCAGAAGTCGGAAAAGCTCATTTCCCACCATTTAGAAATTAACATTTTCCCGGGAAGAACCCGAACCTCCCTTTTCTCTTTGGGTTCATTGATTCATTATAATAATTTTCAAGAGGGTAAAACCTTGACTTTTGAAGAACTTAAAGTAGTTAATAGACACCTTAGATGTCGGGAAAGCTCATTTCCCGCCTTCAGCAATCAAAATTTTCCCTGTGGAGAACCCCCGGACCCCCTTCCCTTTTTGGGATTTATGGATTCATGGAAAAAAATCGTATGCAATTTTTTTTATGTATGTATACACACATCATAAGGCCTATCTACTGTAATAACAATGGGATAAATTTACCTGACCGTTTTCAAGAGGGGAAAACCTTGAATTTTAAAGAACTTAAAAGTAATTAAAAGACACCTCAGAAGTTGGGAAAACTCATTTCCTGCCTTCTAAGAATCATAATTTTCCCGGGGGAGAACCCCCGGACCTCCCTTTCTTTTTGGGATTTGTGGATTCATGGAAAAAATCGTATGCAACAACTCATTTTTTTATGTATGTATACATACATAAGGCTTATCTACTGTAATATCAATGCGATAAATTTACCTGACCGTTTTCAAGAGGGGAAAACCTTGAATTTTATAGAATTTAAAAGTAATTAAAAGACACCTCAGAAGTCGGGAAAACCCATTTCCCGCCTTCTAAGAATCAAAATTTTCCTGGGGGAGAACCCCCCTTTCTTTTTGGGATTTATGGATTCATGGAAAAAATTGTATGCAACTACTCATTTCTTTTTTATGTATGTATATACACGTGGCCTATCTACTGTAATAACAATGCAATAAATTTACCTGACTGTTTTCAAGAGGAGAAAACCTTGAATTTTAAAGAACTTACAAGACACCTCAGAAGTCGGGAAAACTCATTTCCCGCCTTCTAGTAATCAAAATATTCACGGGGGAGAACCCCCGGACCCCCCTTTCTTTTTGGGATTTATGGATTAATGGGAAAAAAATCGTATGCAATTAGGCCTACTCAATTTTTTTTTATGTATTATACACACATAAGGCCTATCTACTGTAATAACAGGGATAAATTTACCTGACTGTTTTCAAGAGGGGAAAACCTTGAAATTTGAAGAACTTAAAAGTAATTAAAAGACACCTCGGAAGTCGGGAAAACTCATTTCCCGCCTTCTAGATATCAAAATTTTCCCGGGGGAGGACCCCCGGACCCCCCTATTCTTTGGAAACCTTGAATTTTGAAGGACAAAGTCATTAGAAACCTACCTTAAAAGTCGAGAAAGGTCATTTCCCGCCATCTAGAAATCAAAATTTTCCCGGGGGGAGGGGGGACCTCCGGATCCCCTTTCCTTTTTGGGAAAAATGTTGACCCCCATCCCCTAGGTTTTTCCAGATCTGCATGATTCATATTCCCATTCATCTTATAAGTGGGCCCCCCCACTTTGAAAAACGTTCCGCCGGCCCTGCTCTGGTGCACTCTGAATAGATCTCGTGCTCAAATTAAACCTTAAAAAACCATAGAATTGAGAAGGTTTCGAGTATTTCGATAAAAAGTTTGGGTTTGATAAAATAAAGCTTGAGATTAGTGGAAAAGCGTGAGATTTGCTTGAGAGCTTGAGGTTTGGTCGAAAAGCGTGAGGCTCACCTTTATGGAACGCCAACAGGTATTAGCAAATGAATTATTACATTATAAGTGTGTATTTGTGAATATGTTTGTGATCATATGGCAAATGTTTTGGGCAGTGATACATTTCAGTCACGCCTAGTGCTACTTCCAAAAAAAGAAATTGTTTAAATTTATTCTCAGATCTCTACACTTCTACACAGGTACTTCGCAACAC